TACACTTGTTAAAATCCATAGCATGTACAGCAGCAAGAGCGAACCCTAATGTATGCTATGGACTCTGAGTGATGATGATGCACCAATGTAGGTTCATCCATTGTAACAAATGTCCCGTCTGGTGGGGGTGTGGTGGTTAGGGGGGTGTGCTGTGTGTAGGGAAAAGGGGTCCATGGGAACTCTCTGTACTTTCCACTCAATTTTGCTGTGAACATAAAACTGCTCTAGGAAAATAAAAGTCTATTTTTTAAAATCCTGGGGGTGTCTGCAGGATCAAAGGATATATGCATTTAAATTTTTAATAGATATAAGAGCTTTCCAGAACTACTGTGGCAATTTACATCAGCCTTGCCTATTTTTATACCTCCCTCTCATCAATACAATATAGTTGAACTTTTTGATCGTCACTAAATTGTTAAAGGAATAGGGTATCTGCTTGTCATTTTAATTTTCGTGTCTCATTATAAATTAGATAGAGCACCTTTTTTTTCTTTTTTTTAATATGTCTGAGCCATTTGAATTTCCTTTTGGGTAAAGTGCCTGTTCATTTTCTTTGCCCATTTTTCTATTAGGTCTGAACCTAATTTTATAGTTAGAAATCTACAAATTGGAATGGGAATGATGGTGTTAAGATCTTATATTTTGGATTGAAAAATACAGTTATCATATACCCTGCAGTCAACCTTGCATCTTTAAGCATGAGGTGAAACTAGAACTGAATGAGAAAAGTAATAGGGTATGGGTACTTTTTCTGTATATCTGGGTACAACCTCAGCCTCTTAACATAAGAAAAAATACCATACCTAAATGTTATAAAGAGCATAGAATCAGGTGCACCGTCTAGTTTCATTTATGCTGTCTTTTGTGAAACAGTCCCAAGCTACATTTCATTAGATCATGCAAGGTTCTTTGTGTAGCCTGAAATCTGGACAGCTGCTGAACATACTTTTTGGTAAAATAAAGTTAAGCATTGTACCAGATGTGATCTGCAAACTGACTATTTAAAGTAGCCTGAATAGGGACTTCCCTGGTGGCACAGTGGTTAGGACTCTGTTCTCCCAATGTGGGGGGGGGCCCGGGTTCCATCCATTGTCAGGGAACTAGATCCCATATGCATGCCGCAACTAAGAGTTTGCATGCCACAACTAAGGAGCCCATGTGCCACAACTAAGACCCAGTGCAACCAAATAAATAAATAAATATTTTTTAAAAATAAATAAAAAAAGTAGCCTGAATAACTCAGTTGCTTTTTTGGCCAAACATGAGTAGGTGGACAAATAGTGAGCATGTGTTGCAGTATCAGATGAGATACTGACCTTTGTACTACTTTCCTAGAGCTACCTTAATAAAACAAAAACAAACTGGGTGGCTTGAAACAAATTTATTGTCTCATGGTTCTAGAGGGAAGAATTCTGAAATCAAGGTTTTGGAGGGCCATGCTCCCTTTGAAACTTGTAGGGGAAACCCTCCTTGCCTGTTGGCAGTTTCTGGCCTGTTGGCCATCTTTCGTGTTCCTTGGCTTGCAGCTGTATAACTGCCATCTCTGCCTTTGTCATCACATGGCATTTTCCCCCTGTGTCTCTGTCTTCACATGGCCACCTTCTTATAAGGACACCCTACTCCATCTCCAAAATGACCTCATCTGAACTATATCTGCAATAACTCTATTTCCAAGTAAGATCCCATTCTGAAGTACTGGGGTTTAGGATTTCAACATACCTTTTTTGGAGGGACACAATTTAACCCATAACAACCTTTCTCTAGAATCTTTTGGGAGAAGGTGAGAGAGACAAGGTAAAAGCCAAAGAGGCTGACACCTTCTACATACATTGCATTAGCCTGCCTGAGCCATATCGGCATTTGCTGTAAGCACAGGGTGGATGACTTACCAAAAGTTTAATTTCAGAGGAACTTACAAAGCACTTCTGCCCCACGTGGATCCTAGTCCTTTCGTTTGTGATTCACTGAACTGTATGCTCCACCTTCAGCCATCACCCTGCCACCCTGTCCCTGACAGGACGAGCTGCAAGCTGCAGAGAAAAAGAAATGAACTAAGAAGGGTCAAATGATCCCCCATTAGATCACAGATCAGACTGCAGGCAGGGGAGACCTCTGTCTGCTTCTTGTGCTATTGTGCTCCGAGGGGGGCCCCCTCCTGTTGTCCACCTTGTCGCCCTTTGAGAGCGACAAGGACCCACACGTGGAGCTGTTCCCGAAGTAGTCTCAACTGATCTCAAGTTTCAGCCAAAAGACATCCTTTTTGAATTCGACACCTATTGGCCGCCTAACCTATTAAGCATCTATTCACCAAGGGCCAGATTTTACTACTTGGTTCAGTCACCCCTCTGCCGAGAGCCCTTTCTGTCTCGCTGTGGGTAGCATCTGAACTTCTGCTTGTTGTCTCAGAATTAATGTGCAGCCTTTCCTTGCTTTCCTGACGAATTTTGTACTACTAATCCACTCACATATAAGTGGTTTTATTCCTTCTTTCCCAAACTCACCTTAGAGCATTTCTTGCCCTTTTCAGTGGCCAAGGAATTTTATCCTAACTTCTAAAAAGGCAGTGACAGGCCACACTTTTTTTTTTTTTTTTTTTGGTGTGATGACTATATAAGTCCAGATGAGCCTTCAGCCAATTATTATTCCCTGCTCCATTCCCCCATTGTATTTTTTTTTAAAGAGCTATGGACGTTTTCTTTAGATTCTTTGCTAGTAAATAAAAAAAATTCCTGCCTTGAATATCATATGATAGCTGGGTGGGGTTTTTTTGTTTTGCTTTTTTTAAGCATGACAGTTTTGTCAGGGATAATTTTCAGATTATCAACTGACTGTTAGAAATGCAAGCAACACAGGGAGTTTTGGTTTTTTCATCAGCTACACTTCAGGTATTTTTCTTTTGACTCCAGGCCCCAGAGATTGCTGGCTGAAAAGGCCTGGCGGACTTCATTCCAGGGAAGGCAGAAAGCAAAGGCCAGTCCCAGTAGGACATACCTACTCATAAATCAGCAGCATCAGCTTCAATCACAGCTTGCATTCTAGAATGCAGACACCAGGGAGAGGCTGACCTAAGGTAACCTGGGGGGACTCCATGCCCCCCTGGCTCTCAGAGGTTGGAATTTAGAGGATGGCATGCTTCCTGCTGTCTTCACAGGGGCATTTAGAGTGCGATTTAATCCCGCATTATCTTTCCAATAGGACTTTTTTTTTTTTTTTTCTCACTGCTGTGGCCTCTCCCACTTGCGGAGCACAGGCCCCGGACGCGCAGGCCCAGCGGCCATGGCTCACGGGCCCAGCCGCTCCGCGGCATGCGGGATCCCCCCGAAACGGGGCACGAACCCGCGTCTCCCGCATCGGCAGGCGGACTCCCAAGCACTGCGCCACCAGGGAAGCCCCCAATAGGACTTTTGACTTTTCCTCAAAAGTCCTACAGTCCTTATCTACCAGGGCCCCAAGTACGGGGCGGTAAGTGAGGCACTCTCTTAGGGGCAAAATTTAGGGGAACCCTAAATAGCCCCAGTAATCAAGATAAACAGTATTTTAACGCAAAAAAATTAAACAAATTGGCAAACAAAGCTGCTAACTGCTTGATTTTGGAAATAAAGCTTCCAGGGCTGGTATCAAGGTGAGGAGAGAGAGGTGGGCTCGTACAAGTGCGGGGGCAGATCCTGCATTTGATATTTTGATATATTATTCATTATGGGTTTTTTTGCATTAATTTTGGCCTTAAAAATTTTTTTAACTAAAATACTTATCCTGATTATTCACTTTTTTTTTCGAATCCATAAATACTGCAACTGAGGCAATTGCCTCTCACTGGCCTCACCCGAGTCCCGGCCTTTAAAATACTGACGAGTCAACAAAAAGCTATCCACCTTCCCGAACCACGAGTCTTAGATAAGGACCAGGCTCCGGGGTACAGACACCCTGCCGTGAAGTCTCCGCGTCCCAGTGGGTTTAGACCCTCCCCTCCGCCTTTCCGCGCTCGGGTATTAAAACACTGCGCGTTCTACCTGGCCTTACTCGGAGCGGCCGGCGCGCCCGGGCCACGTCCGCTCCCGCACGTCTGTCCACGTTATGAGATGACCCTTTCCCTGTCAGAAACCCAAGTTTCACTCACCGCCAAGCCCGTCCCGCACAGCGGTCCCCAGGCCCGCGCACTGCCGCAGCGCGCAGTCAGCCCGGCTCTTTCAAGCGCCTGGCCCGTGTGATCGCGCCTGCGCGCTCCGCCGTGCGCGGGCGTGAGAAAGAGCCCGCGTCGCTCCCAGGTTCTTCCGGAGGGGCAGAGGAGGGCCAAACTGCTTCCCGCGCGGCAGTGCGCAGGCGTAGCGGTGCGCGGCGCTTTCTTCCGCCTCAGCCACCGCGGCTCCGGCGGCGCGCCAGTCGCTGGGCCGCCCGGTGGGCGGCGCTGCGGGCTGGGGCGCCCGGGGGTGGTCGGGGCCGGGCTCGCCGCCCCGGGGCGGGGCCGCGCGGGCCGGGATGGGGCGGGGGGCGGGGGGGGGGG